TTGGAACTAGTATTTTGTTCAAACCCATGTGCTTACTGCTTTGGAAACATTGAAAATAGGATCCCTGTGCCATTGACCCAAAAACAGACGTTTTATGGCCATCTTGATACCCACAAAGCCCAACTTTCAGCAACGGCCACCATTCAGAGCAGCTGTTTTGCTTTTAGTGCTTCACTGGAAGCAAAACCATCTTCATCCTTGACTTTCTACTCTTTCCTTCCTGTGGGGAAGCTGGACTGTGGTGCACTTCCCTGCAAGCACTGTTACACATTTCTGTGTGTCTTGTTAGAACACAGAAACACAAATGCCACGAAGTGTCTTCCCTGTAACGTCCMAGAGACACGGGGCCGACCCAGGCCCAGGTCCCGCCTGTCACGGGATAAGCCCTTGAATCACTCGTGAGAGAAGGGGTGAACCCCAACAACCACCAATTCCAAGACAACCTGGCCGCAATTCGGGATGAGGCTACTCCAGGACGGGGGTGCCGGTTCATCCCGCGCTTTCCCTTTGGGTCGGTGCCGCTSTGGGCTGCGGTGCGGCTCTTCCCGGCTCCCGCAGGTCCCCCTGAGCCGCCCCGCCGGGCCTGAGGGGAGCGCGGCTGCCGCCGGGAGGAGCCCGCGCGGGAGGGAGAAACGAGGGGARCCGTGCGCGGAAGGGACTGCCTCGATGGGCTTGAAAAATCACTGCAGCAGCGGCGGCGGGCAGCGGGGAGATGCAATGCCCGGGCTGCGCGGCCGCGCCGCTCTCCCCGCCTCTCCCCTCCGGCTCCGGCYCCGGCCCCGGGCCCAGTCCTGCCTCTTTTTCCCCGCGGCCGGCTCCAAACTTTTCCCGCCGCCCGCTCCTCTCCCGTGAGTGAGGGAGCCCCGAGCTCAGCGGTGAGCGCCGGCCGGGGAACCCAAGGCACGAAGAGGCTGCCGCTGGCGACAGCCAGAGCATCCCGGGGAGGGGAAGCCGGCGGGGCGGGCGGGGAGAGAGGCGGGCAGGGCGGGGGTGGAGGCACGTCTCCCTGCTGAGGGAGCCGGGACTTGCAAGGCTCTGGGTTTTCCCGACCCTCTTTCCCC